AAGAGTGTGAGACTTCACTACTACGGGAGAGAAAAAGGGAAATCGGCATCAGGAACGCAAACCGTATGGGTACGTCGAATGCTGACGTGGTGACACCAAAAAATGTCGCCGCAGCAAAGACACTAGCAAAGCCGCAAAACAAATCGAATACTGAGCGTTTCCCTCCCCTCCAGTACTAATCCGGCAATATGGTCGGTCGCGCACAGCCCCCCTTGAGACGAGGCGCAGATTTCCGGCCACTTATCAGCAAACTTTAGCCCTTTGACTTCTGCAAAGCGAACAGTTAACCTTTCAGTTATTCTCACCAGCGAGCGACGTGAAAAGGAGGAGCAGAGGTCCCAACGCATCAAACATCCCGATCCATCCAACGGCCCGACCCATCCGCCATTAATTATAGATCAGTCCACGGTTCTTCCGCCCAATCCAGCATCCAACCAAAGCATCCTTCTCCAAAGAACGAGATCTCAACGAATGTAAGGCTATGTCGATTGCTGACATGATGAGACCAAATCTCTACGAATGCATGGCTACGTGGAATGCTGACGTGGCAGAATGTCGGCGCAGCAAAGTTGCTAATGAAGCCGCAAACAATTCAAACAACGTCCCGACCTAAGCTTCCTCTCCAAAGAACGAGATCTTTACGAAGGTATGGCTACGTGGAATACTGACGTGATCAGAACATAAAATGTCACAACAGCAGAGTCGCTAGCGAAGCCACAAAACGATTCGAATACTGATCGTTTTCCTCCCATCCTATGTTGGCTATCAAAGATAGAAGAGAAAGTCAACAGAAGTGTTTCCAACCAAATCGAGATGTAGCCGATGTTGCTTACGGCGCCACACCTGGAGATCAAACGCGTCGCCAAGGACGCGATGATCAGGTTGTAAATAGCGTGTTTAGGCACGCCGCCCCTGGCCCCAACGCTCAAAGAGAAGGCGCCAGACAGACTCCACCACTGCGAAGCGCAGCGATGGCCGTCGCGTGTGAAAGGGCACCCTGGGCTTGGTGACCTCAGGTTAACACTCTCACCGATGGTTTCGAGCCGCAGCGCTAGACCATCGTGCGACGTGCCAGTTGAATGGTGTACCCACTGAGTTAGGCTCTTGGGTCTGCTTTCCCACTTTGACACTCTTCAATTTTATAAATTGCTGCCTCCTCGCATCACAACTTTTTTTTTTTTTTTTTTTTTTTTTTTTAACTATACTCTTCTCTCAATTTTTCCTCACACTACCTACTTACCACTACTCCTACCTATAGGCATACGGGGAAACCCGTAGCATACCAGAGCCGTGTTTTTACGGCCCCTTGAGCCTGCAGGATACCGGCCAGGGGACAGCCGGTAGCACCAGGGATAAAGCGGACCAATCCCCTGTGCCCCTCAGGCCCCTCCCCTACGAACATAGCAGACTCTGCTTGATGAAAAAACAAAAACAAAAAAAAAAAAAAACTTTTTTTTTTTTTTTTTTTTTTTTTTTTCGCCAGATGGGGGGGAGGCGCGGCGCCACACTTCGCTGCAGGGCAATACGAAGGCAGCGCTGGAGGTGTCGAGTAGGCAAAGCCTACCCCTGCTGTGACCCCTCCACAGCCCAGAAAAAAATAAATAAATAAATAATTAAGTAATATCGTGTCGCCCAATGGACCACGATCAGATATTATATTATATTAAAAAATATTATATATTATATTATATTAAAAAATATTATATTATATTAAAAATATTATATTATATTAAAAATATTATATTATATTAAAATTTAAAAGTTTAAAACTGATCAGAACAGAATCAACAGATACGACACTTGATCTTAGCCGACCCGTTTTCCGACAATGATAAAAAAAAAGAGGGCCGAGAAAGGGATGAAATATTTGGACCATTTGTCGATGTATGTGTGTCATCCTTGCGCAGGGGCCATTTGGTAATCTACCCTTCTCTGCATCGTTCCAATTTTAACGGATGTCCCGAAGGACAGTTTCCTTTTTCCTTCTCTTCAGAATGGAAATGCAGAAGCATATCCACTCCCCTCCTCCACCCCCCCTTCCCCCACTCCCCCGAGGAAAAAAAAAGGGAAAAAAAAAGGGAAAAAAGGGAAAAAAGGGAAAAAAAAGGAAAAAAAAAGGAAAAAAAGGGGAAAAAAAAGGGAAAAAAAAGAAAAAAAAAGGAAAAAAAAACAGAGGCAGAGGCGTATCGTCGTGAATCAACGAGTTGAAACATGCAGGAATGCTCATACTTTTCTGACTGAATGTATCTGATCACAGTTACGTACACATTCAGTCGAAAACGGTTTCTTTTTTTTCTTTGGGCACGCTGGATAAAGCAGGAGAAGTCGTCGTAGGCGTTTTTTTCCCGGAACTTCTCGAAGGATATTGATCGACACAGAGACATGGACCCAAAAAAAAAAAAAAAAAAGCCGAGTTCGAACTTAAGTCCTGTTTATTAACAGTCGCATGTGGGTTCCATTCAGCAACGTGGGCTGAATTTGATGTGATTTATTGACTGAGTTCATTTGGAGTAATCTGTTGAAGAAGGATAAGAAACCCGAATTTATTTTTTGGCTGGTTCATGTCCAAGAAAACAATGGTAATAATCTTATTTTCCCCAGATTCTCCCACCCAATGCTCCTTCTCCTAATTTGAATTTGATGTCTGTCTCTCTGGTTGTCTATCTGTCTGCCTGCCTGCCTGCCTGCTTACCTGCCAGCCTCTCTGTGTCTCTCTGTGTTTCTCTGTGTCTCTCTGTGTCTCTGTGTCTCTCTGTGTCTCTTTGTGTCTCTCTCTGTCTCTGTGTCTCTGTGTCTCTGTGTCTCTGTGTCTCTGTGTCTCTGTGTGTGTGTGTGTGTG